GCTGCCCATTCATTCCCCCCTGCCCCCATGTGGTCTGTCTAGGAGCGATGCTGCAGTGATGCCTCAGCGGCTCCTTTCATGTTATTCTCATGTCCCTTTGACCTCTGCCTCTTATTTCACTCCAGCTGCCTTCTTCTGTGTAGCCCCACATTTAGCTCCTTTCTATCAACCTCTACATCCTTGTGCCTGCTTCCTCTGCCTTGCACACCTCCATCCCCACCCCGAGGTTCCTTCCAACCATGTTCTCTAGTCCTTCAGAAAACTGCTCTAAGCTTCCTCTCCCAGGAAGCCTTCTCTGACCATCCCTAGTGGGGTCTCATCTCTCAAGTCATTCTTTCTTCCTTTCCAATCTTTCTACCATGTCCTACGTTTAAATACTTGCAATTCTTCAAGCTGCTTGTTTGTAATTTTGGGCTTGCGTCCCAGAAATTTCTGTTCTTTTAGGAGTCCCCTCATGGTCCACAGTGGGCTTCCATGTATGGGGGTGTTCAGTACATTTACTTGTATATTCCTAGGGTAGAAATTTCAATTACTTGCTGTTTCTGCTTGATTTGTTCTTCCTAGCTGGGTTTTTTTTTTCTTATTTCTAACCATTTCCACTATTATCTCTCCACTGTGCTCCAAGGCCTATCCAGGATTCAGGCTCTTCTGGGAGGCAATCCTAGGTAATTTGCTTGTCCTAGGTAATCCTCACTTCTCTCACTGTCCTCCCCCAATTCCTAACCCTTAGACCAGGGGAGGGGAACCTGCAGCCTCGAGGCCACAAGTGGCCCTCTAGATCCTCCCGTTGACTGAATCTAAACTTCACAGATTAAGGGGATTTGTTCTTTAAGAATCTAGAGGGCCCCATGTGGCCTCAAGGCCACAGGTTCCCCAGCCCTGCCCTAGACCCTGGTGGTTTTCAGTGTCAAAGGTCTTCCCAGGTATTCACTGTCACTGACATTCACTCCGTATGTCCACTATCAGAACAGCACCAGGTGTTGGTCTGAAGAGAGCACCAAACAGGATAAGCAGAAATGGGGGATGAGGGGTAGTCTCAAGGGCTAGAACTGCTGCTCTCATGGCGGTGATTCACACACCCACAGCTTTGGAATCCAGGGATTCCCATGATTGAGCTACTCTCCCCCCAGGGAAGCTGCTCCATCTGAAAGGTCTGCCATCAACAGGGCTTGGTTTGGAAGACAAGTTACCTGGGTTCTGCTGTCCCCTCTAACCCCAAGAGCTATTGGCAGATCCTTTCTCCAGATCTGTTTTCCCACTCAGACCAATGGAGAATAATATGCCCACCCCCATATCTACTTCTGGTTCTTAAAGGCTCCTGAGATCCTGAAGGTTGGGGAGGGAGGGGGAGATAAAACATGATTTAATCATTATTTCCTTGGCTTACACGCAGGACTGCAAAGTGATGGTAAGGATAGACACTTCCCTCCATGCATTGAGGGAATAATCAATTCCCTCAATGGGGACAAGATGGGGATACCAGGGACTTAGGCTCTGATGCTCAGGAGTGAATTTGCTCCTCCCCCTAGGATGTCAGAGGATCCGGCCGTTTTCCTTTGAATTAGCAGCTGGGAGTGGAGGTGGTTGGGATGGTCTGTTTTTAGTTGGGTAGGATGGGAGAGGTTTGTCCCCCAACATTAGGACATTCAGCAGTAAAATAAATAATAGATGGGGGTCCTGGACTATATCCAGAGAAGAAATGAACACAGAGAGGAAGATGGCAGGAAGGCTATGCCTTGACTATAGAACCTTGGGCCTTAGCTAAAATGTCAGCTTTCCAATGGAAGTGACTTGAGGACTTGGGCCAGGATGGAGCAGAAGTTGTGGAGTGCAGTGACTGTGTCTGTGTGAGTGTGGGAAATGTTCTCATTGCATCTATAGCACAGCAGAGGAGATAGGATCAGGGACATGCTGGGCAGGGCTTCTTTTCTTCCACTCCAGACTAAGACATTTCACATGCCCTTGCTTCACCCTCCCAGGGATTTTGAAGCTCTCCAGGATTTGGAGATAAGTTGGGGAAGGCATAGGAGGAGGGAAGACATTTCCTACCCAATCCTGGTGACTTTAGGAAATGTCTTCATTCCCTCTGGGTCTGTCACCTCCTCCCAAATCCAAAGCCCTGAGATGCATTGAGGAACCCTCCCTGGGACACTGGCATAGAACATCATGTCTGAGGGAGAAGAG